AAAAAAAAAAAAAAAGAAAGAAAGAAAGAAAGAAAATTAATGGTAGATATCACTTATACACAAGTTCTGATGTTTCATACATCAGAAAATATTCCCAGGTAAAATCCCAGTGGGAAATAGTAACATTATACCCCCTTTTAATGTCTATTAAAGAGATCCCCATCTTTGGGTATTTCTCTCTATTAGAACTCAGAACTTTTGATGACTTTCTGAGTCTATCCACTACACAATAATTCTTGATCTACTGGCTTATTTTAGTAAATTTTAGTTGATCGGTATCTTTCTGAAAACGGTTTTAATCCTACTGTAAAATTCTCATTTTTAAAACTGTGAGATACTATAAAGGTGCACTTTCTTCCCCTGGGCTTTGTAGACATCTAAGGAGTTCCAGAATAGCTGTAGGGTTTCTGTGAACTGCTGGGAAGTACATTCAGAATTGAATGTGTACACACATACTGACAAGCAGAAACCATACCTTTGAACAGTCTCAAAGAGGCCTGTGATAGTAATGAATGCTTGTTACATGTCCAGCTATTCAGTTTAGTTGTTAAAATATTAAAAAAGCAGGAGGGGGGTGGCACCTGTAGCTGAAGGAGTAGGGCGCTGGCCCCATATGCCAAAGGTGGCAGGTTCAAAACCCAGCCCCAGCCAAAAAACCGCAAAAAAAAAAAGCAGGAGGAGTACTTTACTTATCACCTATATTTGTAATCAGTTATGCTAATACACCATATATTGATAGCAATCTTTTCCCCCGGTACCTGATGGCACTCTTTTTCAGACTTCACTGAAAATAACTAAACTACATATTTTTGCAATCCATCCGGTGATAGCTTTTCCCTAAGTGGGGCTTTAATTTCTCCCTGTTATTCAAATGAAATAATAAGTAAGAATGTTATTCCTATACTGATTTGCCTTTACTTTTCTTTCTTAAGGCGGGGTATAAATTCAGAGGACTTTCAAACTTTCTTTTAATTGCCTCTGACTGCCTCATTTTACCAAAGGAGTCCCGAGGGCCCCACAGTGAATGGTACTGACCCCAGGAGCTGGTCTCTAGGTCTCTTCCTGGTCCATGTGGCAAGATGGCTACATAGTCAGACACGTGTTATGACAGGAGAATAGGATACCAGGATAAGGACAGGAATTCTAGCTAGACACCTGTGTTAGACTCCCCTTTCTTTAGTAATTTTCTCGGTTCATGTGTCCTTTGGGTGGCTTGTTTCAGATCACTCTTTCAATTTTCAATTTCATATTTTAAGACATAGAGCCTGGAATTGACATATTACTATTCCCTTCATCGTTTCTGCTGAGTAGCGGACCACTAAGGAGTGAAATTCTCTGTCCTCCTCAGCCTTGTAGAATCCGTCTCTCTCCTGTCTGTGACTTGACTACGTGGAGTTCTCCGTACTGAGGGCTACCGGATGGCACATGCAACCTTTGGCACTTCGTTGTGGTATCTCATTAGGGCTGAGGACAGGCCCAAGGAGGAGGCAGGATGAAAAAAAGTGTAGAACTAAGAAATTACAGGCAATCCTCCACGTACTCTCTTTCTAGAATACGTTTGATTCTTAGGGAAACATCTAAAAGTTCTTTTTCTTTCTTTGTCTTCTCTGACATCTGTTTGAACTGTATCCAGCCTAAAATTTAGGATGCAATCTGCCTTTGCCCACCAGCTAATAAAACTTCTATTCATAACTGTCTAAATGATGGGTGTTAAATTGTCCCTGTGGGGAACTGCTTTGAGAAGCATTATGAATTAAATCAGTTAGTTAGGGGATAAAACTGGGGTCCATGTTCCTACCTTGTAGCTGGGCCATCTCAGCCACTAGAGGGCCCCAGATTTATGTAAAAATAGGGACAGAGCTCTAACTCCCCTATGTTCTCTCCTTGTCTGATCCTTGATTTGAAACCCCTCCCCCCCTTTAAAAGCCATCTTAGTTCACTTCTCCAACCTGCAAACTAGCCAAGACTGAGATCTGGTACAAGCACTCATCAGAGCTATTCATCCCTATCTGAAATCTGGGGGGTGCCTGTGATTCTCTGGAATGAGGAAAAATTTCTAAAGAGACAGAGAAAGAGAGAGGGAGGGAGAGAAACACTTTATTCAATATGAGGGGCCTTGGTGGGCCTGTCCTATATTTGACCCAGTCCTGACTGCTATGAGCCTGAAGTCCTTGTTCTCACCAAGCAGGCCTTGCATGGCAGAATTCCCTGCCAGCCCTGGCAAGAGAAGGAGACATTTCTCTGGGAGGCCCAGCAAGCACGTGTCCTAGTGGCCCCAGGCCAGGCCTCGGGTGAATAGGCCAATATGCCACTCCCTGGGTTTGCAGCCTCAGACTAAGCAGATGCCCAGGCTCCCAACATCACAGTCCCACAAATAGCACTTGGACTTGGCCTATGTGAAAAGTGCTGACAGTTGTTTGAATTGCACAGGGAGGAATTTATGTCCCGGGTCGGGCCAGACATTTAGCGTCCTCGGGCCTCTCAGAGCGTAGTGGTCTGTGGTGAGCTGGAGGGCCGTGAGATGGCAGGGGGAGAGAACACACTGGGAAAGATCTCTTGCTTTCCTTAGTTTCTTGAACGCCTAGGAGGAAGCCTAAAGTGACAGGAGTAACATGTGTAAGTTTTGGTGCATGTTTTTTTACAGTTATTCATCATTTGTACTCTGTCATTAGGGCTGGGTCCAGGGACCATGTGCGCCCCACTGAAGTACAGTTTCTTCCCTGTTATTTTGGTTACTCTGTAGTCTTTGAAAGTTCTGAATGATGACTCTGCCAGCCCATGTGGAAGCAAAATTTCAGGGTTTGGGAATGGAGGAATTCCCATACCTTGGAAGTCATGATTTGGGATCAACTCAACTCTTGAGGACGAATCTGACTTTTTTTTTTTAATTTCCTCAAATCATTTGGAATCCAGTCAGATTAGCAAGGTGGATGAGTAACCACTGGTCTGTAGTAGTTGTCGATATGAAGGGAGAGATGGAAGCTGGTTCTGGGGCCAGTTTGCAAGGCAGATATTGATGAGATGGGAATTAGGAGTGATTCTTCATTTGGTTATTAAGTACTGGCATGCTTACTTTGTGAGAGTTTCATTGATTGATGCATTGAAACCTTTGAAAGCGCTAATGCAGATGCTAATTATTCCTTTAAAGGGTTTGATTCTGTGAGATTCATTTCTCTCATTAGAATAAAACTGACCGATTCAAAATAATTGAAGAAAAGATGACTCGTGGTCATTGTGTAGTATACAATAGATGCGGCAGAGTGAAACATTGAAAGGTGTTAGATTTTGTGTTCAAGTACACAACTCTCGCAGCATGCAGGGAACTGTTAAACACTGTGGAATTACAGACTTTAGGACTGAATAGGATCTTGAGCCAAGTGGCATCTGCCAGCAATTGAGATCCTGCCTTCTACCACATAGCGGAAAGGAAGGGAGGAAAAGGAAGAGATTGGGGAAGAAGAGGATAGGTCCACGGTTCCAAGCTCCCACCTCCTCTGGGGAATTCCTTTCTTCATCGCTGAGTTTCCATTATTTGGCTGAATGAATAGACAAGTACAGGTGATGATTATGTACAAATTTATAGATATCAGTGGATTCTTGATTAAATACTATCAAATTTATTGTCTTATTTGTTTAACAAAACTTTTATCATACCCAGTAGAATCTCTCTAGTTGACCACCTCCCTGCTTTGGTCACCTCCTTAAATTGACCTAATTTCCATAGAAATCAGTACAGTAGGCCTAGTTCCTTATGTTGACCACCTCTGTATGGTGACCAGTTTGCTACAGTCCCTTGGGTGGTCAACTCACAGAGGTTCTACTGTGATATATTTCATCTTATCTCCAATTCACATATTTAATGATATTTTAAAAAAAAAAAACTAGAAGAAAGGGAGCTATTTCAGAGAGCATCTATTCCAGTTCCTGATATGACACATAAGGCCAACTGAGGTGTTCTGATGGAGTTAATGTCCAAACTGTGACCAAAGCTAATGTGCTGCTTAAAAATACACCATTTATGAATTATCAGTGATGTTGACAAGACCTGGTCCATCAGACCTGGCACAGAGGAACTAGAGTGTAATCTTTTTTTCCTCCCTCATTTTTAAATTGTTTGAGCATCAGTTCAAATGAGGTTAATCATTGCCATTTTTTTGCCTTTTGTCTTTTCCATGTTTGTCTTTCCAACTTAAATGCCTAAGATTTCCTCACTTATTATAATACAGTTAGCCGAAACAGCCTTACATTCATAAAAAAAAAAAAAATCCTTTCATATAGATTATAATATCTAAGCAACTTTCTATCAAGTCACCCCGTGGTTTAACCAAAGTAGGTTAAGTAACAGTCTCGTTAATTAGATTCCTTTTTTGTATATATCTTTCCCTTGAGGAAAGTTGAAGTAATGATTTTTTAAAAATGGGTTTGTAGAAAATAGTTTCTGTCTTAAGAAGATGGATTGGAAAGACCAAGTTCATTTATAGGAAGGGAATAGAGCTGAGAGTACAGGAAGGAAAACAGTCATAAGCATCATTTTTTTTTCTTGAATTTAAAGGTATGATATTAAGAGTTTGTAAGTGCTTTGTATCTTTATGTTTTTAAGTTCATTTCCACAGTATGTTCTGTTAAGAACTATTTACAGGTGTCCTACACAGCTTTAGCCTTTTAGTGTTATTTCACCAAGTGACCAGAAGGGGTCGCTAGAAGACACTTTTCTCTGGGGACGGTTAACCTTTCTCTCTTTCTTGCTCCCTGCCCAAGGGCAAAGGAGAAGCAGATGTTCTTTTGCTGGAATGATGCTGCATCTTTTATCTGGCAAGTCAGATTTCAGCTTTGTGTTTCCATCAAGTATCAAATCCTTGGGGCCACCTTAGAAAAGGGACTGTACTATTTTTGCCAACATGCTATCTTCAGAATAAATGAAATTCCAGAAGTTAAAATGAGGTCCCTGTGGTCATTTGTTGGCCACAGACTTCCCACTTCCCGGAATGATGGTTCCATAACAAGTTAGAGCTTGGTGCTGAACTCCTCTTGGCTGGCCTGTTTCCTCTTAGGTTGGCCCTGTTGAAGAAGAGCGGGGAGGAAGACTGGAGAAACAGACTCAACAGGAAGCAGGAGTGTGGCAAGGCGTCCGCTGGGAGCAGCCTGCACATCCAAGAAGTGGGACAGTCGCTTGCCAAGAAGGTAATGTTCTCCACGTCAGGAAAAAGCATCGTAACTAACATCACACTTGGAAGTGCATCAGAGAGACGAGCATGTGTGACTTAACTAATTCCTACTCTGTTCAGCAAAGCACTGGTGCATTCTTGCCCTTTAGGGCACACGCTGAAAGGCTGTCACAGAGCAGCTGAAATTGTTCAGGTCAGGTCTTGAGACCTGTAGAACGGGAAGCAGCCAAGTGCACACACTGCATCCACAACCAAGTGCCAATTTTAAAGTGTATGCTTTTTCAAACCTTCTTCTTCTTTTTTTTTTTTTTTTTTTTTTTTTGAGACAGAGTATCACTCTGTTGCTCTGGGCTAGAGTGCCATGGTGTCATAGCTCACAGCAACCTCAAACTCCTGGGCTCAAATAAGCCTTTTGCCTCAGCCTCCCAAGTAGCTGGGCCTACAGGAGCCCACCACTATCACAACCCCTAGCTAGTCTATTTTTAGTGGAAATGGGGTCTTGAGCTTGCTCAGGTTGGCCTTGAGCTCCTAAGTGCAAGCAATTCACCTGCTTCTGCCTCCCAGAGTGCTTATTAGATTACAGGTGTGCACCACCACACCTGGCTAAAACCTTCTTAAATGAAGTCTGGCTTTAGAATGTTATTAAAGCCTTTATAATGAAAAAATCTAATTCACTACTAACAGCTTGTGATTTGCATATAAAATATGGACTTGAATTTCCTATGTAGAGATTTATAAAGCTGAATATAAAAAAATAAGGACATAACCGTGGCCCATGAGTACTTAATTTTAAGCATGTTTCATGATAAGCGGGTATGCCTCTTATTGAGAGTAAGGACACAGTGGTGACACAGTCATTAAAGGACATATTGGTCACACAGTTATTGGCCAATGTCTAGGATCAAAAGTCTTCAAATAGAAAAGAAAAAAATGCTTCCAATTAGGTGATGACCTAGACCCTTTCTACCTCTAAATAAATTAAGCATCCGTGGTAGAGGGGAATTATGAAATGTGACCTTTATGCATTAGGAAGTTTAAATAAAAATCAGATAGATGTACACATAAAACTGTGATCAGGATTTCCTGAACTATTTCATGCGACACCTGTGTGTCTTTGTAAGTTACACTGGAACCCTGGAATTCCAATTTCTTCTTTTTGTTTTTCTTGAAACAGAGTCTCACTCTGATCACAGGTTAGATTGCTGTGACATCAGTCCAGCTCACAGCAGCCTCAACTCCTGGGCTCAAGTGATCCTCCTGCCTCAGCCCCCCAAGTAACTGGGACTATAGGCATCCACCACAATGACCAGCCAGTTTTTCTATTTTTAGTAGAGACAGGGTCTCACTCTTGCTCAGGCTGGTCTTGAACTCCTGAGCTCAAGTAATTCTCCTATCTCAGCCTTCTAGAGAGCTAGGCACGAGTCCGGCCTGGCATGGTGATTTCAATTCTCTTTTTTGAAAGATAACATGTTTTTAAGGATAATAACTAAAGACATTGAATCCATTTGTAAATGTCTTAAATATAACCAGATATTTTAAGAGTATACACAGGTGCATAGTTTTTTTACATACCATGTGAAGTATAGATTTCAAGAATAAGATGCTAAGGTAAAAGAAAAATGGGCCCCTCATGTGCCCATTTATCCCCAGTGCCTAGAAATTTTATTCATCATAATCTTGAAATCATTGGTCCAAACATAACTTTAACACATACCTCACTAGCAATAACCTGTTGCCTAGTATATCATGGTAGCCTGCAGTTCCAAGTAACTGGTTAGTCCCTGGGGAAGCTAGGAAAACTCCCCAGCTGGTCAGGTGCTGGAGCCCCATGGAGCCAGGTGGAAACTAAAATGAAGCCAAAAAACACAAAAGAAAGGTGGATTCCTTGTAAACAGTGAAATAGGTGCACTGCGCACTTAGGAGAGTGAGGGATCATCATAGGCAACAAAAAACAAGAAGGTTTTAAGTAGATCTGAAGTTACTGGACGCTTGGCTAAGATTTTTGTTTGTTTGCTGGCTTATTTGGGTTTTTTTTGAGACAGAGTCTTGCTCTGTCACCTAGGCTTGGAGTACAGTGGTGCAATCATAGCTCACTGCAGCCTTGAATTCCTGGGCCCAAGCAGTCCTCCCACCTCGGCCTCTCCAGTAGTTCCTGGGGTTACAGGTGCATGCCACCATGCCTGGCTACTTTATTATTTTATGTATTTATTTATTTATTTTTGAAAATTTTGGCCGGGGCTGGGTTTGAACCTACCACCTCCAGTAAATGGGACTGGCGCCCTCCTCCTTGAGCCACAGGCACTGCCCTATTTTTGTTTATTTATTTATTTATTTAGAAATGGGGTCTTGCTACATTGCCCAGGTTGATCTCAAACTCCTAGGCTCAAGCCATCCTCCCACCTCAGCCTCCCAAAGTGCTGAAATTACAGGCATGAGCCACCACACCCAGCTGGCTAAGAGTTTTAGAAGGAGAGAGGTGCGGAATTACTACAGGTACCCTTGAGATAGAAAACCCAGTGACCCGAAGCCCAGGGCTCAAGCACGATTTAGGCTCAAGTATGAAATGCTGTCCCGGGGCCACGGAGGCTGCTGACTCTGTAGCAATAGTGAGCTCGCTTGTTCCTCCTCCTCCTCAGTGGCCTAGTTCACTTGGGCCTGAGACAGTAAGCTCTTTGAAGTTAAAATAAGCTGATCTATTTTAGGCCTTTGTAGTGACATTGGGAAATATCAAGTTCTGTTGAGGTCAGGTGGTTTTCAGATGGCCTCTGACAACCCCTGGGTGCATTCCTCCCCAAGGGCTATCTGCATATTTCAGTGACCCTTCTCCTGTGCCCCAGTGTGGTCAGCAAGGGTGCCTTAAACCTTGTCTTTTTTAAGGCAAGTCCCTAAACATCTGTGGAGTGCTTGACAAATCCCTACTTGTGAGTTGCTTGCTGGGTGAATGCTGCCTTGGAGAGGACTCTTGGGGCACGCGGTGCTGCAGATGGGAGCTCACTGCATGCGGTTGTTCTAGGCTTGCTGAAGGAGAGGTCCTGGAACCTTGCATCTTTACCACCAAGGGCAGTTTGGGGGTCGGTTTATTGCTTCCCAGTTTCTGAATTCCTTTTATGTGCAGTAAGCCTAGTCCTGTGAGCAGCACCCTGTGGGGGACCCTGTAAGTCACTGCTGTCGGCTCCTCAGCAAATCTATACAGCAAGGAAGTCAGCGCTGCCCAGTAACAATACAAAGTCGGCCACTTAACTACTTTTTAAATTTACCAGTCCTTTAAAAAAATAAATAAATAAAAGGATGCCTTGAAAATCTAGAACCGTTTTGTTTCTGCCAAAGGGTTGGTCCCCAAAGAAAGCAAGTCTGGGTGCTCTAACCAGCATCTCATCTGATGTCCTACATGGCAAGGTTTTCTTTGGGCCTATGAACAGATTTAGGGGAACCTAAGCTAGAGTTTTCTCTTTTTTTGTATTAAAAGATAACTCGTGTCCCTGGGACTGTGAAACTTAGAGGCAGTTCCTTGCTTTCCAGTTCTGTCCCTCTGAATTTGAAGACTGATGATTTGGAGCTCAATAGCACTCATTATTTACCTAAGCTGGCTCTGAAATTTCCTATGAAAAATTATTTAGGTGCTTTCCTTCTCTCCTCTCTTCTTTCTTCATCTCTCCCTCTCCCTCTCTCTTTCTCTCTCTCTGTCCCTCCCCCTCTCTCCCCAACCCTCCGTCTCCCCCTCTCCCTCTCTCTTTCTCCCCCTCCCCTTGCCACTCTTATCTTCCTTCTGTCCCTGGTTTAGTCTAAGTCAGTGCTAACCTGACTTCAACATTTTCTGTAGCGTATGTAATTACTTCTAAAGATGGTAAAGCCATTTGGCTGGTGGATTTGGCCTCATCTGCATTGCATGGAACGTGTACATTGGAGCATGATTTGTGTCCAGTTCTCTCCAGGGTAACTCACTCCATCAGAGAGAGAGACACGAAACTAAGCAAAGTCAAAGAAGCCATTTGGCAGGAGTCTCTGTTACAACTAAATTGCAGTTCCATATTTATTTTCACTCAATAATTACTTTAAAATCCCAACCCCATTTTGGCCAGTTCTGCACGAGGGTATACACAGGGACTCCCGGATTTTTTTGTGAGCTGATCCTTCAGCGTCCCAGACTTTTTCTCCGGGAAATAAAAACCCTTTCTAGAGTTGGCCACCAAAACCCTGTGTCTAGTTCTGAGTTCCAGACGGGGGATTTGATCCTCTATTGTGTGCTTCAGTGGTTATGAGGTCAGTGAATCCAGCCAAGATCAATGATATCCCCAGAAAATTCAGGGAAGGCAAATCTGCCCTGTTTCCGTGCTGATTGTCTGCCAAAAGTGAAATTCCAATCACAGTCCAGGAGAATGGTGTCCCTTGAAATAGCAAGGTTGGGAGAGAGAGAGAGAAAGATCTGAGGCTGTGAGGTCTAAATTAAAGATTGTCATTGTGCTGGCAAGGGGTGAGTTTGCTTGCTGCCTGTGCCACGCCACTGTGAACGCATGTGCACGCCTCTCATTGAACCCAGGCCCAGAACGCTTGGAAATGGTTGTGATACCCTAATGAAGTCCTTCTCTTCCAATCCTCTGCGATGTTTCCTGTTTGTTTTAACCTGCAGGAAGAAGGAGGATTTGCAGATGATAATACCATTTCTAATCTGCTTTGGGTAAGCCTGACTCTAACATAGGGACCCTCTAGATTGTGACCAGAGCTGCGCCTCCCCACGGGAGGTTCCCGGTGTGCCCTCTCTGTGGAGTTTTCCTATTCCTGTGCAAGATCCGGCCTTTGTCCAGGATGGAGAGCTGATCCTGGGTCCTTCGATGCTCTTTTTTGTCATGTAATGATTAAAGTCATGTAATGACTTGAAAGAAGATGATCTTCTATGTTAAATGTTAAAAACGTCGATGAAAGTCCCCGTTGCCCTCCCTGTAACCGACTAGCTTATATCAATTAACTCATTTAAGGACTGCGCAAAACTGACTCAGGAATATCGATGCGCTTGCATGG